TCAAAAAATTTTTTTGGGGTTTAACATTATTGATTACAGACAAGTTTGTTTTCTGTTGGTAAGTATTTTCCCGAAATACTTGGAACATCTATCGTATCTTCTAAAGTCCTAGATTTGGACTTATGAACTAGGCCCTTAAGTCCGGGACTTAGAACCAGGTCCTTAAGTCTGGGACTTAGAACAAGGTCCTTAAGTCCGGGACTTAGAGCCATGCCCTTAAGTTCAGGACTTAGAACCAGGTTCTTAAGTCCGGGACTTAGAACCAGGTCCTTAAGTCCGGGACTTAGAACTAGGTCCTTAAGTCCGGGACTTAGAACTAGGTCCTTAAGTCCGGGACTTAGGACCAGCTCCTTAAGTTCTATATTTGGACTTAGGACCAGGTCCTTAAGTTTGGGACTTAAGGACCTGGTCCTAAGTCCAAATATAGGACTTAAGGACTTAAAGACAAAGTCATAAATTCCGAACTTAAGGACTTGAAGCATTTTTTAACTTAAGAACTTAAAGACCAGGGTTTGAGTCCTGGACTTTACTATCTCTAATTAGGACCCATAGCAGACCTATGGACCTAGGTTCAAAAATTAGAATCTAGTTTTTAAAAACTAGATCCCAAGACCAGGTCCTAGAGTCTCGGACCCAAGAACTTTACCATTCCTACCTGTATGTTCTGGTAACTTTTATCTAACTAGTACCTGTTGTGCTGCCACCATCAAGTTCATATCTCAAGCTATCTTTTTGGATACTGCCATAACCCGATTCATATCTCAAGCTACAACCTTCTTAATTAGGATCTCATTACGTACTCCTTGCCCTTGTGAGATTCAAAACAACTCTGGTATCTATATTTTAACTTCTTTTTTTTTTAAATTCTTTACTAGTTCCTCCTTTACTTCTAGCTAGCAACCCGGAAGAGTTGGTCTGCCCAGGCTTTAGGTGCCTCACTGTTGCCCTCCTCTTGGTACATGCTTTCGAAACACAAGTCCTTTTCCTCTGATTGGCAGTTTGGCAGTTTGGCTAGTATATTCCCCCCACTTAAGGATCTGGTTATTCGGTTCTCTAGTCTTAGTTCTCAGTTCCAAATTTGGCCTTTCTGTAGCACCATTAAAGATCACTGCTACTCCACACTCAGGACTTGCCAAATGGGTTTTTAGTAATTCTGGTTTCCTGAATTTATTGTGCCGAAGCTCCCATTTGAGATGGTGTAACCAAGATTATAGATATCTAAATCTAACTGATAATCTTAACGTTAACCGATACAGATCTAGTTTTTTCAAAATCATTATCCGTGGAATTTGAACTCTAAACCTGCTGTCTAAGAATGTGACAACTCCACCACTTCACTAAATCACCACACTCTTGCTAATATAATTGTATTATTATCAATTATTATATTTAATAATAAACTTGCTAATATAATTATATTATTATTAACTTTTATATTTAATAATAAACTTGTTAATATAGTTATATTATTATTATTATTGTTTATAATTGCAATATTTTTAACTTTTTGTTTTAAAAATTGTTGTTAGTTACAAGCATTTTTCAAATACTGCTACAAATTAAACTTTGTATTTACTTGCAGTATTGTTAATGATTTATATTAAAAGTTATTTTGTACTCTAATTTAAATCCTATATAATACTATTGAACACTATACTTTTCATAACAAGGAGGTATGAATATTGTTCTAGAACATGTCCAAAGAATCAATATTAAGTACTTACAAGATGCCTGCTGCAGAATTAGTATTCTTGCTCTTGGAATCAACTTAATAACTGAATTATACACTTCTTAATTAGCCAAAGTAATTATAGCTTATAGTTTAACATCACAAATTCAAATTAAATCTGATATTGAACAAAAAGAAACCTATTCTTACCTTTTATAAAAAATATATTATAATCTTATTCTCACCTATATATCTCAAAAATATACTAACTATTTTCTCAAAATTTCTACTCTTTTCCCACTCAATAATATTGAAGTTAACCCAACCAAATCTGATCTTCTTCATATTATCTCTAAAAACTTTAAAATATCAAATTATACAATCTTTTACAATAATCAAATAATTACTATCAGAAAACCTAAAGATATAATCAGATATCTAAATATTTTTTATGATAGTAAAGGATCAACTAAACTAACTCTTGATATACTATATAACAAAATTAAAATTTTCTTACTTTTTATTAAATATAAAAAGGTACTATTTTTTCAAATTTTCTCTCTTTTTAACCTTATATTCCAACTCTCTTTAGAATATCTTTTACAAATTATATCTATTCAAAAAAATATACAAACCAAACTCTCTTAACTACTATTTATATATACAAAAAAAATATTTTTTCTAGCAAAAAACACTAACAATATTTCACTTACTAATCCACTTATTTTTAACTTGCTTACTTTTACTAATATAATTTAAAAAGTTAGTATATCCAATATTAATCATACTTTTGCTTTCAACAAAATTTTCGAAAAAAGTGGGCAAAACAGCTTACCCCCGTCAAAAGATCGGCATTGTTTATCCCTTCCAGATTTGGACAACCTGGTAGATTGCAACCACATGTTTTGTTTACTAACGGATATGGTGCTACTCCGCAAGCCTAGACCCT